GTGTGAGTGTATGTGTGTATGTGAGTGTGAATGTATATGTGTGTATGTGTGGGGGTGTGTGTGAGTGTATGTATGAGTGGACGTGAGTGTGTGAGAATGCATGTGTGTGAGTGTGTGAGTGTGAGAGTGGAGAGCGTGTGAGTGTGTGTCTTTAGCGTCCCAGAGAGCCAGGGTGGGAAGGTGTATGTGTTGCTCACCTGGCTGAGGCTTGGGTGAGATGCTGAAGGAGCTGTGCTCAGCAAAGGCTATGTGAGCCCCTGGGCCAAGCAGCCTCCTAAGGGGCCTGATGACAAGGTGTGGTCCCTCTGGTCAGATGGCCTTGCAGCAGAGCCATGCCCTCCTGGTGGGCTCTGGCACTGGGGGCAAGGGTTGGCATTGAAGAACATGGCACACTGCCTCCTAAGCACAGAACTGCATTGGGCAGAGTGCAGCTCCTGGTAGGACAGTGGAAGTGGAGGCAGGCGGAGAATGATCGTGCGTCTCCCTGAGTGGTCACAGGCTGATGAGTTCTGACCATGAAGACGATCAGCCACAGTTCATGGCAAGCAACAGAAACCAGATCTGGCTAATTTAAGCAGAATGGATTTTTTTTTTTTTTAGACAGAGTTTTGCTCTTGTTGCCCAGGCTGGAGTGAGATGGTGCAATCTCGGCTCACTGCAACCTCCACCTCCTGGGTTCAAGCAATTCTCTTGCCTCAGCCTCCCGAGCAGCTGGGATTACAGGTGTGTGCCACCAGGCCTGGCTAATTTTGTGTTTTCCGTAGAGACGGAGTTTCTCCACGTTGGTCAAGCTGGTCTTGAACTCCAAGGCTCAGGTGATCTGCCCACCTCAGTCCCTCAAAGTGTTGGGATTACAGGTGTGAGCCTCCATGCCTGGCCAAGGAATTTATTAAAGGGACTTGGTCACTCACAGAATCATCAAGTGGACCTGAGAATAAAACTTAGCGCCCACCCAGCCAGGAACCACAGAGAAAACCGCCCCATGGCCCTGGGCCCACAAAGCCCCCAGGCCTCCCCACCGCTGCTTCTCGGCCACAGCCCCCGCTGCTGCTCCTCACCACCCTCAGGAGGGATCTGCGTGATCCATTCTGCTCAGCAGTTCTCATTTCCCATTCCAATCTGACGTGGGTGTATCTGGAGGCGACTTCCAGGTCACAGGCTTCCACCCCACTTGCAAGGGATGCTGGGAAAGTGAGCTTCCAGTGTTCTTGGCTGCTTGGGAGGAGAGTGGGTTCTGTTTTGAAAGGCAGGTGGATTCTCCAGCATAGTCAGGGGCTTCAGAGGCTGGGAGGCCCAAAGAATTCAAATGTCCTTCCCACTAGGGTTCCCATCACTAAGAAGGACATTTGTGGGGTGCATTCTGTGAGCAGGGGTCTGTAGGTGCTTCTACGCACTGTTAAAACTCGTACTCTGAATGAAGAGACCTCCCCAAACAGGCTTTGTGTGAGCAACATGACTGTTTATTCACCTGGGTGCGGGTGGGCTGAGTCCAAAGAGAGTCAGCGGAGGGCGATGGGATAGGAGTTGGTGTTATAGGTTTTGGATAGGCAGTGGAAATTTACAGAAGTTACAGTTTAGGGCGGTTTTTTGCAAAGCTGAGAGGGCGTTGTGGGTTTGCAAGCTGGGAGGGGTCCGTAAGGTCTGGAGTCATGAGGTTGACCAAGGTCAGTTACAAAGTCCAGTGGCCTTATCAATTGAGGCCAGAATAAGAAACAATAGGAGAATGTCTCAAGTTGGTTAGGCGCTGCAGGGGTTGATCTTTCTTCCACTTTTCATGGTCTTCCAGTTACTTCAGGTTTTCTAATTCCAGAAGGCCCTCCAGAGGTGTACGTGCAGGTCCTGGGGATCACCATAGCATCCACCGTGCTGTCAGCCTAAAAGACCTTACACACACCTAGGGAGTTTGCTGTCGGCCTGTAAAGACCCTTTATGGGACACGAATCAAAGGTGCCATTCCTTGAGATGCTTAACTCCAGTGTAGGATCTTGGTGTCAAAAGGAACCTTTAGATATGGCCCTACTGTACGTAGCATGACGTGTATAGCCAGAACAAAGCAGGTGTATGTGAGTAGGAACTTCATAAGCCATACTCAAGAGCTCAAAGGTGTATCTGGGGGCTGGGCACTGTGGCTCACGCTTGTAATCCCAGCACTTCAGGTGGCCAAGGCAGGTGGATCACCTGAGGTCAGGAGTTCGAGACCAGCCTGACCAATATGGCAAAACCCTGTCTCTACTAAAATTAGCTGGACATGGTGGCATATACCTGTAATCCCAGCTACTTGGGAGGCTGAGGCAGGAGAATCCTTGAACCCAGGAGGCAGAGGTTGCAGTGAGCCGAGATCATGCCACTGCACTCTAGCCTGGGTGACAAAAAAAAAAGTATATTTTTGTCTATTAGTAACTGGATTTAGCAAAGATGTGGACTCCCCCAGCCTGATCTCGGCTACACCTGTGTCTGTCCTGCAGGTGTGGAAACTTCTAGATGCTCCCCCTTGTGAGTTCACCTCTGTGTCTACTACTGAGGCCTCTCCGTACAGGTAGAGTGACTTGTGGTGTAGCAGGAGCGGCTGTGGGAAACAGAGCTCTCGAACGCTGAATGGGGAAGGAAGGAGTTTATTATTATTGTGATTGTTACGGCCGGGAGCCGGGAGCCGGGCGTTGGTTCCAAATTACCCAGCTCATCTAACAAAGGAGGGTTCTGTCATTATATAGGCTCACACTCCAGATATTACACATAGAGGAATTTTAGGTTTACAGCCTTAGAAATCACAATTGAAAGGGTTTTGGATTTACAGCTTTAGGAATCACAAGTGAAAAGGTTTCTGGGTTTTACAGCTTCAGAAATTACATATGAAAAGGGTTTTGGGTTTATAGTTTTAGGAATCACATGTGAAAAGGTTCTGGTCTCTGGATGGAGGTTTGATCTTGTTTTAAGTAAAAACAGTTTCTTCCGGAGAGCTTCCCCTATACCAAGCGTGTCATTTATAGGAAGGTAAATTCAGGAGGCGCCAGTTGGCCAGTCTTTTCTTCTATTGAAATGCACTGTGGAAGTCGAGGGGGGAGTTGACCCCAGATGCCTGGGTCTCCTTCCTCAGTGGGAGGCCTGTTACATCCTCAGGCCACACCTGGTAAGGGAAGTGCAGGTGGGTCCCTGCTGCCCTGGTGTCCCCCAAATATACATGGGGGTATGTACCTTTTCTAATGCCACCCCAGGGGGTATATACCTTTTCTAATGCCATCCACCCAGATGGGGCTGACGACTCATTTTAGGTCGGGCATTTGTGTTTAGGGGTGCTGCTTGCCCCTTCTCCCCACCTGCTGCTTGAACCTTAATTTCCTTTTGGGTGGTATCTTCTGGGATGACGCATCCTTCCCCTCTCCAGGGCTTATGGCATCAGCTCTCAGCTCTCGAAGTTCAAAGCCAAGCTTTTTTGGCTCTACACAAAAGATTTCTCTTTCAAAACCCGGTTCTTGTAGGGGTATAGTCTCAGCTCTGGATTTCAAAGCCTCTTTTGCAACTCAAAGCCGAGGATTTGATGCGTTGTTCTGGGTTCCCCTGGAGAGCAAGGAATATAGGAAACCAACTTAGCATATGAATGCAAGTCAGTGGATATAAGGAAATTTTCTACAGTGGAATAAGCTAGTATCTCAAAATGATGGCACTCAGCTCCCATACGCTGTCACTGATTCTTTGTGATAATCCTTCTAAGAAGGATGAGTTTGCCCAATCCAGAGCTGAGACTAGGGTGGGGGGAGCAAGACCCTTGTTCCAGGCACCATATTTAAAGAAGTGCCAAAAACATTGTCTCCATAATTAAGTAATAGTTTGATGCAATCATTGTAAAAGTAAAAATTATTGCCAAAAATCCATGACGAACAAAATATCAAAATTTTAAATAAAGATGAGATTTGTAGGCCGGGCACAGTGGCTCACGCCTGTAATTCCAGCAGTTTGGGAGGCCGAGGTGGGTGGATCACAAGGTCAGGAGTTCGTGACCAGCCTGGCCAACAAGGAGAAACCCCCTCTCTACTAAAAATACAAAAATTAGCTGGGCATGATGGTAGGCACCTGTAATCCCAGCTACCTGGAAGGCTGAGGCAGGAGAATCGATTGAACCCGGGAGGCAGAGGTTGCAGTGAGCTGAGATCACACCGCTGCACTACAGCCTGAACAACAAAAAGCAAAACTCCATCTCAAAAAAAAAAAAAAAAAAAAAGATGAAATTTGTGTTACTGATTTTTCCTTGGCCTGAAGGTTCCCATAATGGCTCCACGCAGCATTGGTTCTGATCTGGTCTTTACAGAGCTCACACCCTAGTACATCGGAAACAGGCTTCAAGCAAATATTTCACAGTTATTATTTATTTAGTATGATTGGAATAAGTACTTTGAAGGAGAAATGTGGGCGCTCAGGCATCTATAACAGGGGCTTGACGTGCTCTGGAAGGTCCTGGAAGGGAAGTGTGTTAGTCTGTTCTGGTGTTGCTATGAAGAAATACCTGACGCTGGGTAATTTATAAAGAAAAGACAGGCTGAGCATGTTGGCTCACGCCTGTAATCCCAGCACTCTGGGAGGCCGAGGAGGGTGGATCATCTGAGGTCAGGAGTTCAAGACCAGCCTGGTCAACATGGTGAAACCCATCTCTACTAAAAATAGTAAAATTAGCCAGGTGTAGTGGCGCATGCCTATAGTCCCAGCTACTCAGGAGGCTGAGGCAGGAGAATCACTTGAACCTGGGAGGCAGAGCTTGCAGTGAGCTGAGACTGCTCCATGGCACTCAAGCCTGGGCAATAAGAGTGAAACTTCTGTCTCAAAAAAAGAAAAAGAAAAAGAAAAAAGAAGAGAAAAGATGTTTGTTTTGACTCACGGTTCTATAGGCTGCACAGGAAGCATGGTGCCGTATCTGCACCTGGTGAGGGCTTCAGGGAGTTGACAGTCGTGGCAGAAGCTAAAAGGGAGGGGCGTTATCAGTTGGTGAGAGAGGGAGCAAGAGATAGGAGGGGAAGGTCCCAGACTCCTAAACAACCAGGTCTTGAGTGAGCTGAGCAAGAATTCACTCATCACCAAGGGGACAGTGCTAAGCCATTCATGAGGGATCTGCCTCCATGACCCCAATACCTCCACTAGGCTCCATGACCAGCACTGGGCATTACATATCTTCTTCTTCTTCTTTTTCTTTTTTTGAAATGGAGTTTTGCTCTTGTTGCCCAGGCTGGGTGGAGTGGAATGGTATGATCTCGGCTCACTGCAACCCCTACCTCCAGGGTTCAAGCAATTCTCCTGCCTTAGCCTCCGGAATAGCTGTGATTGCAAGCATGAACCACCATGCCTGGCTAATTTTTGTCCTTTTAGTAGAGACACGGTTTCACCACATTGGCCAGTCTGTTCTTGAACTTCTGACCTCAGATGATCTGCCCTCCTTGGCCTCCTAAATTGCTGGGATTACAAGTGTGAACTGCCGTGCCCAGTTTCAACATGAGATATGAAGAGGACAACATCCAAACCATATCAGGAGGTTTCAGCTGAGACCGTAAGGATGAATAGTATGAGCCAAGCAGAGTGGGAAGAAGAGGATTCCACGCAGAGGGACTGGTGCGTCCAAAGGTCCTGGGGTAGAAAGAAGCTGGTCAGGTTACCTCATCTCCAAGTGGTGACTCAGAGATCGAGGATCCGTTCCATCCTTAACATCACAGTAGACAGGGAGTGGACGGCTGTGCATTGATGTGGCATGTTTCACTTCTGCCCACATCTATTTGCCCAGCACTCATCCCAGTGTCTTATCCTCTGGGTTAGGAAAACTGGTTTTACTGAGGGCTCAGGAAGAAGAGGGCACAGAAGTTCCTCACTCTCAGTAGCCTCTGCCACAGAGGGACCAGGCCAGGCAAGTCCTTGGTAGTGTTGGTTGGGACCTGGATCTGTATTCTTGGAGCAGATGATCTGATTTGCATTTGGTCACAGATCCAAGAAGGTATTAACATAAAGAGCTGCTGCCAGCCATGACCCCAGCGTTCCTCCCCGGAGGAAGGAGTCGTCCTGTCCACTTCGTAGCATCATGGCCTAACAGAACCCGTTAGGATGGTCAGATTTCCATCCACAACATGGAGGCGTGGACTTGGGCACCAGCCAGCTTCTCCCCTTCCTCACACTCCCATGGCCTCTGTTGCTGCAGCTCTGGTGTCTCTCAGGGGGACCTGAGAGGACTCTCAGCTTTCAATAGATCAGGCAGGTAACTTGCAGAGCTAGGGTTCCAGGTAAATATGATCCCCGGGCCATGCCTGGGCTCTGGTTTCTTAGGCAGGGTGGGAGGAGTAGGTGGCAGTGGCTGAGCCAGCCTGGTGTGTTTGGCTATCCACTGATGGGCTCAGGCCAATGGTGGGCCAGAGACTGCCTGGAGTTTGCTATCAGATAAGCCCTGAGCCCAGGTCATAGGCCTAGGATAGCCCAGGACCTGGAGCCCTCTTTGATCTGTCTTCTGGAACCTGATTTGGGGTTCCTAGGCTTGCCCTGTGGATTTCAGGATACCCTTTAGTTAGGCAAACATATGAGCCCTGGGGCCTGGGATGGGAAAGGGAAGGGAAGTAGTGTGGTTCTTAGCCATTCTTGTCCTCTCTGGCAACATCAAAATCTCCAAGGAGGGCACCTCTAGAAATCTCTTTTTTTTTTTTTTGAGATGAAGTCTAGCTCTGTTGCCCAGGCTGGAGTACAGTGGCACAATCCAGGCTCACTGCAACCTCCATCTCCCGGGTTCAAGCAATTCTCCTGCCTCAGCCTCCCGAGTAGCTGGGATTACAGGCACCTGCCACCACGGCCAGCTAATTTTTGTATTTTTAGTAGAGATGGGGTGTCCCCGTGTTGGCCAGGCTGGTCTCACACTCCTGACCTTGTGATCCACCTGCCTCGGCCTCCCAGAGTGCTGGGATTACAAGCATGAGCCACCATGCCTGGCCACCCCTGGAAATCTTTTTGCTGTTTGCAGGATGGCGGCAAGCATCTGAGCACCTGGGGTGTTTTCTCTAATTTCTCACAGCCCACAGAGTCAATGAGACATGGTAGGCAAAGCCTGGGCTTTGCAATAAGATGGACTGGGTTTGAATCCTGGCTCTGTCCCTCACTGACTGCGTGACCTTGTAGCTTGGCAGTAGCTGCTTAACCACGTTGAAACTCAAACTGCTTAACCTCTGTGAATCTGCTTCTCCATCTGTAGAGTGGGAGGGTGATGGGGAATGTAGTACCTGCCTGGCAGAGCTGTTGTGAAGAATAAATTTGACAAGCTGTAGGTGCTCAGTAAATGACAGCTATCATTATCCCGAGGGAGAGAACCACGAGGAGAGAGGTTAAAGTTGCAGAAACTCCTTTCCCCAACACACACACACACACACACACACACACACCCCTTTCCTGCAGCTGCAGCCAAAGGGATCCTATTAAATGTGTATCCTCTGTGCAAAATTTCCCAGTGACCTCTCACCCAGAGTCAAAGCCAAAAGTCCTTACGAAGGACACGGGCCCTCCTCGGCCTGCCCCGTCCTTACTTTCTCTCTCTGATCTCCTTGGCCACCATGCTTCCCCGGCTCCTTGGGCTGGGCCCCTCGTTGCTCCCAAAGGCCCAGGCACACTCTTGCCACAGGGGCTTGGCACTGCCATCTCCACTACCCTGCCCCCAGACATCTGTGTAGCTTGCTCCCTCATCTCCTCTCATCTTTGCTCAATGCCATGGTCTCAATGAAGCCCCTTCTGGCCACTCAGGCTTTTTTGTTTTTGTTTCTGTTTTGAAACGGAGTCTCACTCTGTCACTCAGCCTGGAGTGCAGTGGTGCAATCTCGGCTCACTGCAACCTCCACCTCCCAGGTTCAAGCACTTCTTCTGCCTCAGCCTCCCAAGTAGCTGAAATTACAGGTACCCACTGCCACACTCAGCTAATTTTTGTATTTTTAGTAGAAACGAGGTTTCCCCATGTTGGTCAGTCTGGCCTAGAACCCTTGACCTCAGGTGATCTGCTAGCTTTGGCCTCTCAAAGCTCTGGGATTACAGGCATGAGCTAGCGCACCTGGCTTTAGCCACTCAGTTTTTTTTTGTTTTTTGTTTTTTGAGACAGAGTTTCGCTCTTCTTGCCCAGGCTGGAGTGCAATGTGTGATCTCTGTTCACTGCAACCACCTCCTGGGTTCAAGCAATTCTCTTGCCTCAGCCTTCTGAGTAGCTGGGATTACAGGCATGTATCACCACACCTGGCTAATTTTTTCTATTTTTAGTAGAGATGAGGTTTCACCATGTTAGTCAAGCTGGTCTTGAACTTCTGACCTCATGATCCTCCTGCCTCAGCCTCCCAAAGTGCTGGGATTACAGGCGTGAGCCACTGTGCCTGGCCCTCACCCCTCAGTTTTAAATGACAGCCCCTCCCCACCCTCCACACATTTCTCAGTCCTCCTCTCTCTTTCTTGGAAATTTAACTTTTTATTAACAGAGATGGACTTTCACCATGTTGGCCAGGTTAGTCTCGAACTCCTGGCTTCAAGTGATCCGTCTACCTCGGCCTCCCAAAGTGCTGGATTACAGGCGTGAGCCACCGCGCCTGGCCAGTCTTTCTCCTTTCTTTTTCTGCTTTATTTCTTCCATAGCCTGATCATGACCTGACACGTGTTTTGATGATCTCCGCTCGCATGAATATAAGTTCCACAAAGGCAGGGATTGTTGTCTATTATGTTCACATTCATGGTACTGCCAATGCCTAGGCATAGAAGGGGGTGCTTAACGTTTGTTGAATGAATACCTGAAAGATGGCAGAACTGAAGTTCTGGCTGGTGCAGGTAAGGGGAGTGGGCCATGAAGTGAGGACATCATCACTTTCCTTTTCTGCCAAATGAAGGGTTTGGCCTAGACACCCAGGAGACCATGAACCTGTGGGAATTGTGGACATCATTGGTGAGTCTCTGCCTCCCAGCACTTTTAGGGAACAAGGGTCTCTAGCTTCTTGCAGACATTGAACAGAGCCTGTGACCTCCCAGAGGAGCTCAGCACCCTCCCAGCGACGACGTCTCGTAATTGGCTCTAATTGGTTTGAATCCTTGTTTTCTAAGAACCTAAGATGCTACCATCCCATCATCTTATTCAAATCCCAGCAGCCGGGGGCGGGCGTGGTGGGGGGTCCTGGCCCCAAGGCAGGGAGGGAAAACCAGAGGGGACTTTGGCAGGGTCAGGGTGTGGAGGCAGTAGTGCTTATGGGGACATTGGAAAGGGACAAAGGAGACTCATATGCTATGCACGCTGTTTTCTTCCCTTTATTTAAAAGAAAATAGGCTTAAAGCAAGTATGACGAAATGCGAACAATCGTCAGTGCTGGGTACTGGGCATGGGGATGTTTATCACAGTGTTGTACTTTTCCTATATTTTAAAAAATCTTTTGAAAAACACAGAGTTTGGGGTGGGCATTCATAGTTACAGCTCATGATTAGTATCAGAGAGGCAGTTTCTGGGGGCCCGGGGGACCTGCACTTTGGGCATTTTTGTAGCGTGTGCGGGGGCGGAGGGGCTGGCCAGGGTCTGGGACCCTTGCCTGGAGCTGACAGAGCCCTCTCTCCTCCCCTGCTTCCCCCTCCCAGGTCTCAGTTTCCTGCCTTCCTGGGAAGTGGGGAAAGGCTGAGAGGCCCCGTGCTGGGGGTGAAGCTAATTCATTAGTTACGCCTCAACAAGGACCGGGTGCCTGCGGTGCCAGCATGATTCATCATGATGATTGCCCCACTGCCAGCCTGCGTGGGCCCGGAACGCCAGCACATTTTACCTTTACCCACTGAGAAGGGCCTGGTGGGAGGCGAAGGTACAGGATCTGCGGAGAGCAAGAAAAAGGCTCTGAGAAACAAGAGGTCTGGTCCTCCATGTGCTCAGCCCCAGGAAGCTCCGCCAGGCTGGTACCAGGGTGGAGAGGCTCATGTGGGCTCATGTGGTGCTGCCCGTGCCAGTGAAGCCCAAGAGGGCAGCCTGGTGCTGGAGTGCCAGCCTGAGCATGTGGAG